TGGACCACTTGTAAGGTGTTCCTGAAGCTTTCCAGAAAGATTTCACTTGACCTATTGTTAAAGAGCAGTAGCATTAGAAAAGTGATGTTGCCAGTCTCTTGAGTTTTAGTTAAAGCAGGTTTTCCTGTACTTTCATTAATGGGCAGTCCCTCTGCTTCACCAGAGTGGTATTTCTAGGGATTTAGGCTTTTGGTTGTTTTTATTCTATTCTGTTCTTTTTAATATGTTTCAAGATCCTTTTGGTCTCTTTGGTATGAATCTAAAATATGAAACCTTACACTATAGATTAATGTCTTGGAATTGATTGTTTTCTCTTACGTAGTGTCAGCGGAAGTGAAACTCAGCTTCAAATGTAACTTTTATAACAAAATTATCTTTAAAACAATTATTTTAAAATTGAAAACATGCAACACTTACCTGTTTTTACATTTCTACACATAGATTGTTCAAAAGCTTTTTAGTCCAAATGCAGTAATTTTAACTTAATCAAACAACGCAAACAAAGATCAAAAGTAATATTCATAAGAAGGAAGTGAAGAGGTTCTCCTCTGTACCTAATTCTCTTTAAGTCAGTGGATGGGATGCTTCTTTAGGGGGGGGAAAAAAAAGTGTGTGATTGTTCTGACTTGGCACATGCTTTCACATGTTGTGAAGTGAGAATCAACATGTACCCTTATAATTTGACAGCATCTAGCAGACACTTTGCATGCATGTAAATAGACATACACCGTCAGGCAGCAGAGAGCCGGTCCGGGAGACTTGAATTTGCCACAAGGAGTAGAAAGTGACTGAAGATATATCTAAATATACCACGAGCCGGCTCTCAGGAGTCCTACCTTCAGAAGTGAAAGAAATAGAGGTAAGGATTAATATTCTGCCCAAATCCTTGATGTTGCTGTTTGAGGAAGGGAACAGCACAGCGCTGGGGTTATCTAGCCCATGTCCAGGATCACATGCAGTGAGGGCAGCAAACCTGATTCCTCCTAACTTCCCATCCCAGCATCATTAATCCCTATTATTTACCCCTTCCTGTGGCTGCACTGCCTCAGCCCTGGCCCAAACCCTTCAAACCAGGCAAATTTGCCAGCACGAAGAAGCTTTGGGACTGCGGCGTGGACAGATGGCTGGGCTCCCTAGTGAACAGAGCCAGCGGGTATGGTTCCAGCAACAGGCTCTGGCTGCTTCATTGGAGTAATGATTGATGGTGACTTATACAAGGGCTAAGAGTAATTCTTTGCTGTTAACCAGACTTGGCTACAGCAGAATGGAAGTGGAAATTTGTTGCTTCATTTATTCATCCTGCCTCTGCTTCCTTCCCGCCCACCCTTTGTGCTTTTTAATACCGAAAAGATGAAGCTACTTTGCTCAATCTTAAAATTGTCTTTCCCAAGATACTCTTAATTGTATCTCTACACCTTTTCTCATTCACAGACGCATAAGAAGATTAAAGATAGAGGGAGCAGTAATAGATTTAGTTAGGTTTTAATAGGATTTGCAGAGGACAATGCAGAGAATGAACGCCATAGAGAATATTGCTACTCTATCTTTGATATCCCTAAGGCTTCTTAGGTAGTCTTTCACAGAGATTTTGTCTGTGCCTTGCATTCAGAGTCAAGATTCTCATTTTTCAGTAGAGCATGTGTGGGGTTTTTTTAAAGGAGTATCTAATCATCTCGGTAAACAGGATGTTACATTCTAATCTGCAAAAATCATTGCAGCCATCATTTTGTGTTATTTATTTGTATCTTGTTAAGCATAGTTTTGCATGTCGACAGTGGGCTTTTTAATAGCTGTCTGTTACGTTTCTAAAAGTGTCTGGAGTTTTTGTTTAATGTCAGATGAAGTAAAGGGGTGGGTTATGATATATCTGATTAACAGTAGGCCTGGATTCATCCCACCTTCAGACACATAATTCAAGATGCTACATTAAAAGCCCATTTCACATTTGGAGCCCAGGCTCCCAGAATAATTTGTGGAAGGGGTGGGTACTTCCAGAAGGTGATTCAGCACACCTGAAATCTGAATTATCCCTCAAGGTGCCTTTCTCTGCTGACTGCAAGGGAAACTTTCATGCATAATTTAGACTTATGTGAGATTTAGGTAGACAGTGGTGCTCAGCATTTTCTTTTCATTTCTATGGTTTCTCTTGGTACATACCCAAAACCTGAGGCTCCAAAAATCTCCAGTCCCTCTTGAAAATATATGTTGATGTGTCTTTACTTTGCTTCTAGTTGTGATCTCAAGCAAATTTTGGGTGTAAAAAAAAATCTAAGGACCAAAAAAAAAAAAACCCAACTCAAACCCCAAACCAAAACACCGTAACAAGGTTTGCCTATTTCATAACTCCCAGACTGTGCTCATCACCCTATTTTCTGAGGTTCCAGTAGTGCATTAAGCAGAATGACTGGTAGCTGGTTCATGTTTGAAGAGACTGTGTATTATGAATCAGTATTTAACATCCAGTTCAATGCAGCATTATATTTAGCAAGTGGCTGTTGCAAGAGAAGTGCTGAAGCCTTTCAAAATGTTTCCCAAAACAATACTAGGAGGAAAGACATGGCCCTAGTGAAGAACATTCCTGATGTAGAATCAGCCTGTCTCCAGCCCTGTACCAGCATGGAGCAAAGTTTGTCAGTGTAGCATTAATATTTGCAATGTCTGTTGTCCTGGTCTGTCGTAATGGTTCAGACAGGCTTTTGTCTCAGCTCTTTCCCCCCTATCTTAAACTTTATTTCTTTGTTCTCCCACAGCCCAGCCATGGCCAGAGATTCTAGGATCTTCATGAACCAGGACATGGACATCGGAGTTACATCCAGAGACCCTAAGAAGATTCCCAAACAGGCTCGGGATGATGTCCCCATTGCCACTGACCGAACCCGCCTCATATCAGCAGAAGGTAAGAAGCCACGTCAGCGTTACATGGAGAAAAGTGGCAAGTGCAATGTTCACCATGGAAATGTCCAAGAAACCTATCGATACCTTAGTGACCTCTTCACTACTCTGGTGGACCTCAAGTGGCGGTTTAATCTTCTTGTCTTCACTATGGTCTATACCATCACTTGGTTGTTTTTTGGGTTCATATGGTGGCTTATTGCCTATATCCGGGGAGACCTGGACCATCTTGAAGATGAGAACTGGATTCCCTGTGTTGAAAATCTCAGTGGATTTGTTTCTGCATTTCTGTTTTCTATCGAGACTGAGACAACAATTGGGTATGGCTATAGGGTCATAACGGAGAAGTGCCCAGAAGGCATCGTATTGCTCCTGATCCAGGCTATTCTGGGCTCCATTGTCAATGCGTTCATGGTGGGATGTATGTTTGTCAAGATCAGCCAACCAAAGAAGAGGGCTGAAACCCTCATGTTTTCCAACAACGCAGTGATTTCCATGAGGGATGAGAAGCTCTGTCTCATGTTCCGGGTTGGAGACCTCCGAAATTCCCACATTGTTGAGGCTTCCATTAGAGCCAAACTGATTAAGTCCAAACAGACCAAAGAAGGAGAGTTCATCCCCTTGAACCAAACGGACATCAACGTGGGATTTGACACTGGAGATGACAGATTGTTCCTGGTGTCACCTCTTATCATCTCGCATGAAATCAATGAGAAGAGCCCCTTCTGGGAGATGTCCCGCACCCAACTGGAGAAGGAGGAGTTTGAAATTGTGGTCATCCTTGAAGGAATGGTGGAAGCAACAGGTAAGGACTTGTCAAAAATGAGCACAATTTTCATAGAATCATAGAATCATTTAGATTGGAAAGGACCTTTAAGATCATCGAGTCCAACTGTAGAGAGGGAAAGGGGAAAAATGGAGTTTGGCATTAAAATTTTGCTGTCAATGTCACCTGGACTGAGAACAGGTTGGTTATTTGTCCTTCTCTAGTGCCTGATTCAGGTGGGATATTGTGGTCTGAGATAGCTAACAATTAAAAGACAGGTCCTTTAGCTCATGTTGTAGTGTTTCATGCTCTTTTTATAAGTCCGGCATTCAGACAAAGGGGTTAGTCGAGAAGCTATCCATAAACACTTAGAACTGATCCATGGGAAAAAAGGAATGGCTAAAAGAAATTGTGAGGTCTCTCGTGGTCCTGTTTTCTGAGATCAAAATTCATGGCACAAATCTTTTTCCGTTTCTCCTCTGTATAAAAAATTGGCAGTAACTGTGCTATTGTAGGTATGGCTGTGGTGCGGAGGCTATGAAGGAAGTGCCCAAGTATTACTATGTCCCATAAAACAGCATGTGCTGAAACTGAATGACTTGCACGTGATGCAGGACATATATTTTTCAAAAGAAGCTCAAAGAGGAAAAATACAGAAACTGCTTTTGTGACTCTTGCAACCCAGCAGCTGTTTAACAGCATAAAACAATGCTGTGTAATGGGTAGATTAGGAGATATACTCACCTGATTCCCAATTTCCTCCTCTGGGTATATTTGTGGCAGTTGGTGAAAGAAGCCTACATACGTCATAATAAATCTGGAAAAGTTGTTTGCCTCAGATTTCCAAAGTGCAGAAAAGGGAGGTGGTAGTGTACCTCTCAAGCTGAGTCAATGGATGGCCATGACAGCCTCCAGGCTCCATTCCCAGGTGGGATGCAGTGTATCTCCTAGGGGTCTGGCTAGTGAGGAGGATGCGTTTACTGTGGAGTCTCACCTACAAGACATGGCACCGTGGGGTCATTTTACCACTTGCAGCTAATTCATTTATTCCAGGCTTTGAGGAGGAGCTGGCAGGCTCTGTCTGCTGTGCTTCTTGCTAAACAGCAAGCATGTTTAAGCACCCTGAGATGCTGACACTCCCTTCAGGCAGGCTGTCTGAGTCTGGGGTTGGCAGCATGTCAAATCGGGGCATTTAAGGGGAATGGGACTACAGGCAGCACTGAGGAGAGAATTGCTGTCTGGAGATGTGGAACCACAGAAAGGGTCAGAGATGCAAAAAAGCTTTTATAAGTAGTTTTGCACTTTGGTCTTTAAGGATTTTAGTTATGAGATGGCACTGTGAACCCAGGTTTTTTCTGTTGGTGGTATTTGGGGATTTTTCCATCTTGATGAGGCATGGGTTCTCTCTGAAACACTTGCAAGAGTTTTTGGCTTGATAGGAGTACTCAGTGGTATGGGCACCCTGTCTCACATTCTGGCCCTTGCTTACTATTAATATCATCCCCCTCTAGAGATTCGTCCTTGTTAGTCTCCTAACAGCCAGATGTAAGGGTAAATAGTCTCTCAAATTCCTGCATCCCAGACCATCGCTCTTAAAGACAGCTCTCTAGAGAGCTAATTCAGTTTCCCAGTATTTCCCTTTAGTCATTAGCTGAGTAGAAATAGCTGACTTTTCCAGGCAGAGCTAATGGGAGGTTATGTATAGATTGCACTGTACCTAGGTTGGAGTACTGTATTGTACAAATGGAATTCATTTGGCATTACTAGGCAGATCTCTTTCCCAGCAGAGTATTGTAGAGATGTGGCAAAAGAAGGGTAGGTGGAAAAGGCAAAGATTTGTAATGGAAGCTTACTTTGTAGCCTAAACATTTACTAGACACTAGAACCTCCTAATCTGAACATGGAATGCAGTTCCTTGTTTGTCCAAAGCCTCTTTCCTCCTCACACAGTGACACTATCGAATTCTGTTAGAACTGCTACTGCACTGCCTTCCTCTTATGAAAGCTCAGCCTCTGCTAGATATGTGTGAGAGGAAGTCATTATCAATAACAACCTCAAAATTAAAAGCATGGCATAGGAATAATACTGCTTTACAAATGGGCTCCTCTCCCAGAGGGGTTGTACAGGCCAGTGTGTAATGATATTAAGGAGCATACATCTGTGGAAATGAATTATTCTGGTCTTGGAAGACAGGCTGTGAAATTCCAAAATTGGAGCTAGAAGAGCCAGTTTGCATTGAACTTAGAGCAGAGTGGACCTCAGATGACGTTGTTAGCTAATTCGGAGGCTGAGATGATTTTCTGAATGACATATGGCAACCGGGCAGGGGGAGGTGTGATATTTTGCCACAATGAGAGTGGCTTGCAGAAGCACAGTGTTTGTGCTTTCCTGCTTTGTCCTCACACTTCCTAATGTTGATAAAGCAGTTTGAGGGATTTTATGCCTACCTCCATACCTTAAAATTTGCTCCAAGCAAATTCTTTAGGTTCTTTCCTTCCTATTGTATTGTTCCAGCCCCAGCTGCTTTCAGGAATGGTATAATTTACTTGCAGCATGACTTCTATTAAATCATGACACTGTTACAACCTGGTCAGGTTCAGGGCAGTATAAAAATGCAACAGGCCATTTGTTCCCTTAGTGTAACCCCTATGAGAAACTAGGAACCACCGTCTCGGTGTCCAGACGTACAACTGGTCAGCATATATAGCCCTGTTCATGGTGCACAAGAGGCAAGCGAGTCCTTTGTGCTGGCTCAGCGGTGGCTCAGCTCTGCAGTTGTCAGGAGTAAAAATTAATGGAAACTTATTCCGCCTTTACAGACAACAGCAAATCATACCATGAATGCACCCTGCACTGGGGGGGGAAAGACAGCTATGTATTTTCATAAGGTATTTTGAAAGCAGGTCAAAATGGCGATTGTCAACATACAAATGACTAAAGAAATTTAAATGTAATATCTTGACTAAAAGCGTGAATATTTTTCACTGAAACATTTGGGAGAGCAATTTTATAGCTATTTCCAGGAGCTTTAACCAACCACACACACATTACAAATGTATTGTCTCCTCTCAAACAAGTAACTCTTACCCCTGACATTTAAGTTTAATTCTGATCCAGTGGAAGACAAAGATGGTAAATAGTTTCAAATGAAAAGTGTAGAATACATTCTGAAGAGCTGAAACACTGCAAGTCATTGGTTTTTTTACAAAATGAAACATTGTGGTTTAAAACCATGTTTTTGTTTTCAAGTTGACTTGAATTTTTAAAAGGATAAATAACAGCACACTGAAGAATAGCACCACACAAGAAACATACCAGCCAGCCTAAAATGCAATGTTTTTATTTTGCCGAGAAAGAAAATAAACATTGTATTATTGTATTGAGAGCTCTCCAGGGTTCCACAGCTATTCTCCTAACGAACCCACAGAGCCAGCTGCGGCAGAAAGCCCAGTGACACCGGTCTTGCCAATCAATATTTTGGTTGAGGCACTGTGGCTCCACGAGAAATTAAAAAATGCCAAAGGGAGACTAAGTTTCTGGGCAGATCCGGTGAGATCATTGCTGAGTATAATGACCACTGTAAAGGCAAAATCAATATAGATGACAAGTGTTCTGACTTCCAGTGCTGCTTCGTGGGCATCTTGAAGCAGCAGCAGCACTCACAGTGCCTACTTAATGAATTGGTCACAGAGATTACTTTAGGGAATTAATTCTCTTTTGCCTTATCTGAAAGGGATACTTGTTAAGATCAGCTGGCCCAAATTTGACCTGCAGCAAAAGGGAAGAAGTGAAGGTGGAAAATCTGTTTGCAAAGTGAATGCATTTTTGCTTTCACTGCCTTTCTGCTTCCCACAGTGGCAACAAAAAATGCGAGCCGTCCTGTCGACAGACTAGGTCTAGGCTGTTGTTGGCCAAACCTCTTGCCCTTATCCTCCTGATCCTGAATTGAACGTGGTGTATAAAGCAAGGCTGCTGGAACCTAGGAGAGCAGTGGAGACTCAGATCCCCCTTCTATGTGCATGGAGAGTCAGCTGGGTTATGATGAAGAATTTGGCTGATTCAATGAGAGAACATTGGAGAGTCCGATTTTTATTTTTAATTTTTTTTTTCTGTAAGCCATCACTCTTCCAACTTTACCCTTCTACTGCTATTTACAGACAATTAACCAAACCCTGATTTATCAGTAGCGGTCCTGCAAGCCTCATTCTGTACTTACCGTGTCCAGCATTGCTATTGTCCAGGCATACAGATAGCAGTGGTTACTTTACTTTTGGTCCTCACTGGTTTTCATTACCTCTTTTTTGCACCACCATTAAATAAGCCACAAGAGACAGTCCAGATGCTTGATTAGTCCAGTCACTAAATGAAGTTTTAATAAACTCTTAGGAAAGAATAGACATGCAGATTTCTGTGTGTGATAAAAGGTGGTTTAATGATTACAAGTAATTTACCTCATCCTGTCCCTGTGAGAGTGCAGCAAACAGCAGCTTTTTTGCACCTCAATTTATCTACCTTTACAGAGGACATAGTAAAATTTCCTGACTGTAAAAACAGGACCAAAAGAAGTAGTCACAACATAAGATATCCTGAAAGTAATAATGATTTTCATGGGAGAACAAAGGAAGGGTGACATTACTAAATGGGGTTTTTGTGCATTCATCATCTGGTTTGGGTTGTCGTTTTGTTTTGCATTTTGCATATAAATAAGTTTTCTGTAAGAAGGACCTTGCAGAACTGTTACAGAAACTGTTTATATAATTATGGGGAAGAGAGAGACATCTCAAGTCATTCTTTTCATGAGCTGAGTCGTCCTCCGGAGGTAGATGTTGGCAGGCTAGTCATCTTAGGTGCCTCTGCAGTCGCTGTAAATGCCTTTGTGAGGGGCTTAAAGTTACACGGTGTGAGCTTGGTGTTCAGGTTCTGTCTGGTAGAGACGTGGCAATTGAATCCAAGGTCTTTAAATCATAAGGTCCTTTATATATATATATATATATTTCTAGTGCCCAGGAGCTTTTGCATGCCTGGAGAGGATTCAGATA